TAGCTCACTGCAGCCTCGAACTCCTGGGCTCAAGCAAACCTCCCACCTCAGCTTCCTGAGTAGCTGGGACTACAGGCTCATGCCACCATGCCAGCTAATTATTTTGTGTTTTGTAGAGACAAGGTCTTGCTATCTTGCCCAGGCTAGACTTAGAGCCCTCAAGTGATCCTCCTGCCTTGGCCTCCCAAAGCGCTGGGATTACAGGTGTGAGCCACCATTGCCCAGCCCTTTGCCAGTAATTCTAACCTCCATATTATCTCAGCATTGGTGGGTTTTGATTACCTTTTCTCACTCATGTTGAAATTTTGCATATTCCAAATTATAGTCTCAGATGCCCAGGCCAGAATAAAATAAAAAGTAAAGAAGCCCTAGGGAAATCACTTACAGATTATTCCCTAAATCCCAGGGTTTCTAGGCAGTCTTGCCTTTTTTCCTTCCACCTTTCAGCTTTCTGATAGTCGGTTTATGTATTTTGTTCAAAGTTTTTGTTGCAAGTAGAGAAGGAATAGGGCATAATGTACTTACTCTATCTTGTCCAGAACTAGAAGTTCAAATTACATCTTAAAAATGTCAGCTTGTTTGTCAAGTGTCTGAGCTATGCATGATCCTTGATTCGGTCAGAGTACTTTTAAAGACAAGGAATAAAAACCCACTTAAACTATTAGGTTGGTACAAAAGTAAATGAGGTTTTAGCATTGTTGAAATTTGCCGTTTGATATTGGAATACATTCTTAAATAAATGTTATGTTATACATCATTTTAATGTGCATTTCTCACTTTATGGTTTTTTTTGGTAATGGCTTATTACTTGCTGTTTATTTTATATTTATTTTAGACTATAGAAATGATGTTAGACAAAAAGCAATTTTCTTACTGGAGTTCAAAATGGGTCATAAAGCAGAGGAGACAACTCGCAACATCAACAACACATTTGGCCCAGGAACTGCTAATAAAAGCACAGTGCAGTGGTGGTTCAAGAAGTTTTGCAAAGGAATTGAGAGCCTTGAAGATGAGGAGCACAGTGGCCGGCCATTGGATGTTAACAACGACCAATTGAGAGCAATCATCGAAGCTGATCCTCTTATAACTACAAGAGAAGTTGCCAACGAACTCAATGTCGGCCATTCTAAGCAAATTGGAAAGATGAAAAAGCTCGACAAGTGGGTGCCTCATGAGCTGACGGAAAAGAAAAAAAATTGTCCTTCTGAAGCGTCATCTTCTCTTATGGTACTCAACAAAAACGAACCATTTCTCAATCGGATTGTGAAGTGCCACAAAAAATAGATTTTAAACAACAACCAGAGACCACCAGCTCAGTGATTGGACCAAGAAGAAGCTCCAAAGCACTTCCCAAAGCCAAACTTGCACCAAAAAAACGTCATGGTTACTGTTTGGTGGTCTGCTGCTGGTCTGATCCACTACAGCTTCCTGAATCCTGGTGAAACCATTACATCTGAGAAGTATGCTCAGCAAATCGATGAGAGGCACCGAAAACTGCAACGTCTGCAGCTGACATTGGTCAACAGAAAGGACCCAATTCTTCTCCATGGCAATGCCCTACTGCATGTCCCACAACCAACGTGCACAACCAGTGCTTCCAAAGTTGAACGATTGGGCTACGACGTTTTGCCTCATCCACCATATTCACCTGACCTCTCGCCAACCGACTACCACTTCTTCAAGCGTTTCAACTAACTTTTTGCAGAGAAAACACTTCCCCAACCAGCAGGATGCAGAAAATGCTTTCCAGGAGTTCCTCAAATCCCAAAGCATGGAATAAACAAACTTATTTCTTGTTGGCAAAAATGTGTTGATTGTAATGGTTCCTATTTTGATTAATAAAGATGTGTTGGAGCCTAGTTATAATGATTTAAAATTCATGTTCCTAAACCGCAATTACTTTTGCACCAACCTAATAGCTCAAACAAAAGGAAATGTATTAGGAATGTACTACAGCAAATCTTAGCTAGCATGACTATCGTTCAGCGGTTTGTTACATTGCTAAGAAACCTTAAGCTGTAGGGGGAATATCACATTCTACAAACAATTATTTCAAGGGGGAAGAGTGTTAGGGGTTAGATAGTGTACCTTGCAACTTTTTTTTTCCCCCTGCAGAAACTAAAGTTTTTGCCATGACTATCAAATCTAAACTTTACTGAATAAATCTATTTTATTCATTTGCTCTACTTCCCACCCACCACCCCCAAAGTATGGTGTCATCTGCCTGCCAGTCTATACGATCACATACGTCCATCACTCACCAAGGGCTGTCTTTGGCTTCCGTGTCTTATAATTCATATTCTTAGAGGAAATTTTAAGTGGTCATTGGTCATTCAGTGCATTTCTAGAGTCAGATATTCATGCCTCTGCTCAAGCTGTGGCAGGGGTCATTCAATTCCCTTCCTTTGGTGGGGGCCATGAACTGCGGAACTTCACAAAGAAGAGACTAGTTGCCTCAAACCATCCCCCGACACTCATTTCTTACACCGGGTTATTATCAGAAGTCAAACAGTTACAGTTTTATTTTTCTTCTTTGTCTAATGAGAAACCCCAAACTGTATATCTGTGTGACATCTTTAAAATCTTCTTTCCTTAGAACGCCTGACAGACAATCTCAGAGTTGGACAGACACCCACAGTTGCTGCTCAGATGTTTCTTTTTTTCAGAGTTTTGCTGCTAAGAATATCGCCTCAACATTTGACTTCATTGTGGCCGATAATGGTCTCTGCATTGGTGAGTACAAGTATTATATTCTTGAAAGCAAGGTTGGAGGTTTTAAAAATACTTTCTCATCAACATATAACATACTATTTCATATGTATCTAGTTTTAGCTAAAAACAATTTTTCATCAGGTTGGTAGCACATAGTCAGCTCCTGGTTAAAAAGAGAATATTTTATCCTATAATCATAGTTGATCTCTCACCTGTCAGTTATTTGAACTAATTTGTACCAGTTGATATTATTTGCTACTTTTTTATAGACATATAAATTGGGGTAGGTTTAATCTCTCTCAAGGCCGGTGTGGTGGCTCATGCCTATAATCTTAGTACTTTGTAAGGCAGAGACAGGAGAATGGCTTGAGCCCAGGAGTTTGAGACCAGCCTGGGCAGCATAGCAAGACCCTGTCTCTACAAAAAATTTTAAAAATTAGCCAGGTGTGGTGGTGGTACATGCCTGTAGTCCCAGCTCCTCAGGAGGATGAGGCATGATGATCACTTGAGCCCAAGAGTTTGAGGTTACAATAGCTATCATGACACCACTGCATTCTAGCTCAGGAAACAGAACAAGACTCTGTGTCAAAAAACAAAACAAAACAAGAAAAACCCCAGTTCTCTCAAATAATAATTTGGATGCATGTTTCTTTTTCAGATTCAGACATTCATAGAGCTTGAAGAAGATCTGAAAGAGGAAGATGAGTCATTGAGGTAAGTGGCATAGGTCTGCACACACGTGTAAAAGTTGGTCTAGATGAATAGACATCGCTTTATGATATAGGGTTATCTAATGCTAAATGCTATTTTCTTAAAGTATTTGTGAAGGGACCAGCTATTCTGAAAATTTCTTAAAAGCAAAATCCTTATGGACATTTCAAAGGTGAATGGACTACAGCAGATGTGAATGAATTTATAACAGGAGTTTCTTTGCAAATTTATAGGAGCAACAACAAAATAAAGAGAATGAAAGTGTCAGTTCCAGATGGAAGTGGGCCCTCGCTGGGGGAGATAGCCCAGAGTGAGCTCCTTTTGTATTTATCAGCTTGCAAGTTCTTGGACACAGCTCTTTCTTTTCCACCCGACAAGATGCCTTTATTTCAAATGTGAGTCCGCTAAAATCATGTGTCCTTTTTGAAGGAGGTGATTTTTTTTTCCTTTTAAGCACTTTCACTTGTTTTTTTGTGTACAGTTTATGGGAAGCTACAGTACAGGTTTCTAGTGACCGATGAGCCAGCTCGGAACACCGAGTTTCAGATTTCTTGCAACATCTGTGGCTTTGTGAATTTGGCTCACAGCAGTGTTCGCGAATGCATTTCTGTTGGCGGGGACAGTGTTTGTTTCTGTGGTTTTTGCTACTGAATGCTTATAAAACAGGGGTCACCCACTAGCGATCCTCCCTGCATTGGGTAGATATTTTGTGTCTGTTCAATTAGCTACAAATGCCTTTATTTGGAGCAGGCCGTCTCCAATTCCCTTTGCCCCTTAGGCTTAACGTTTCCTGGGGGCCTAACACAGCTGCTCATTCATGGAACTTCATGCCTGGGCCCAGAGGCTGCTTCCCTCTGCCCTCCCGTTGCAAACAGGGTAGTCACGTAGAAATGTCTGTGCTTTAAAAGTGTGTTCTCTTAATTGCACATTACTGAGCGAAAGAAGCCAGTCTGAAAAGGCTACACACTGTATGATTCCAACCATGTGACATTCTGGAAAAGGCAAAACCACAGAGACAGTAAAGAGATCCGTGGTTGTCAGGGGTTAAGAAGAGAAGTGGGTGTGAATAGGTGGAGCACAGAGGATTTTCGGGGCGGTGGACCTACTCTGCGTGATACTGTAACGGTGGCTGTATGTCATTATCCATGTGTCCCAGCCCGTAGAATGTACAAAACCAAGAGTGAACCCTAAAGTAAACTCTGGACTTTGGGTGATGGTGGTGAGTCCACATGGGTTCATCGGTTTTAACAAAGGCACTGCTCTGGTACAGGATGTCGACAGTGGGCGAGGTTGTGTGGGGGGGGGATGGGGTATATATGGGGCAACTGTCTGTACTTTCTGCTCAACTTTGCTGTGAACCTAAAACTGCTCCACAAAAGAAAGTCTATTTTTAAAAACATGGGTGCTGATATACACAAATGCGCACAGCAACGTTGTTTATAATAGGCAAAAAGTGGAGACAACTCAAGTGGCCATCAACTGATGAATGGATAAATAACGTGGTATATCCATACAGTGGAATGTTACTCAGCAATAAAAACAAAGGAGGTACTGATACACGCTGAAACATGAATGAACCTTGAAAATATTACGTGAGAGAAGCCAGACACAAACAAACACATATTGTCTGACTCCATTCATATGGAACATCCGGAATAAGAAAATCTATAGAAACAGAGTATAGATTCGTGGTTGCATTGGCCAGGGGGCGTGTAGGGGATTGAGGGATGGTGGCTGAGGGATGCAGGGTTTCTTTTTGGGGTAATGAAATACTCTAAAATTGCTTGTGGTGATAGCTGTACAACTCTATGAATATAATAAAAGCCATAGTACATCTCAAGTGGTTATGGTGGGTAAATTATATCTTAATAAAACTGTTTTTAAAAATGTTAAAGGGTTCTGAGCCAGCATACCTGACCTTGTGTTTGTTTCCCCCAGTTATAGATGGGCATTTGTTCCAGAAGTGGACACAGAAGATCCTGCCTTCCTGTCAGATCTAGAGGAGAATCACCAAGAATGCAAACCTCATACTGTCAGGATTCTAGAACATCTAAAATTAAAATATGGGGTAAATGTTTTCCTTTTTAAAAATTATATTCATGGCAAAGGGGAGAAGGGCTCAGCAGGGAACAAAGGACTTCGTGTGCCACTTGATTTTAATGATGTCAAATAATTTTCAAAATATCTTAGTTTTAAAACTTAGTATGGTTATAAATTCCATCTTTGTTTGCTTATATGTCACACAGACACCACTTTGTCATCCCAGTTGCTAAGAGGTAAATCTTCCTGGCTAACACAGTCATGTAGAGGTCCTTTTATTCCCCATTTCCTCTGTTACTTGGAGTCCAAGAAGAGGGAGAGCTTGCTAGGAAGAATGACAAGAGTCAGGTTGGGCTCAGTGTGAGACCCTGATGGAAAATGTTAATTGAACACCTAGAATTTGAGTCATTAGTGCTGATAATGAATTTTCATAAAGAACTAATCTCAGGTTTTGCTGCGTGCATGTGTTTCACGGGCATCTCCAACCCCCAGTAAAGCCGTATCATTTTTTTGGTGTGTGTGTGTGTATGTGTGTCTGTGTGTGTGTGTGGTTTTGTTTGTTTTTCGTTTTGCAGGAAATCAGCAGCTCTGATGAGATCACCGTGAAGAGTGAATTCCCTCTTCTGCGCCAACATTCTGTTTCCAGCGTCAGGCAGCTGATGCCATTCTTCACGACTCTAAACTGTGCTTTTAAAGCCCAAAGGCAGCTGTCTGCTGAGACCTCAGGAGCTCCATGGTTAGAGTTTCCTGCCACAGAGAGCTTAAGGGTCTTAAAACAACTGGAAGAATGTGTCGAATACGATTTTTTGGAACATCCGGAATGTTAACCCTATGAGAGAATTTGTTTAATTCATTTATTGGTACTTGAGTGAAAATCAGGATATATTCCAAACAAGAAAGGAGCCAGGATTGTGCTTTTAAACACATCTGTTTCAATTTTGAAAGTAGATTTCAGATAATTTTCTGTTCAGCAACAAAACACACCTCCCTAAATGCCTTGTAATATATTTGGATCTGATTCTCTGTTTCTTGCTCAATTTATGCAATGAAAATAAAGTTAATGTATCATCTAACAGTAGCACAAAATTTATAATATGAAGAGAATGAAGAAGTCAGTTTTTTTGTTGTCATTAAAGCAGGTATATGGGTCTTTATCAGTATAACTCTCAAAGTTTAAACTTATTAAAAGAATATTATTTTTAACCTTTCACACAAATGTCCTTTACGGCATTTATTTCAGTATTGCATTTTAAAACTAAAATACATTGTTTTCTGAGAATAATAATTGCCCCTTACCTATTCAGCAGAGATGAGCACTCGAAGATAATTTCAACATATTTAACCCTTGCCCATTAAAATCACGTTTGCACTTTAACTACACAAGAAGTACATACTTTTAAAATTCTGACAGCTGTAACCTTAGTTATGTGCCTGATGTACCTTCCAAGCACTTTCTGTTTACCATAAATCAGTGTAGTCCTGGAACCTTCAATGCCTGAAACTACTGTCAGGTATGCTCCCCTTCAGGCTTCTTTCCTTCTGTTCTTTCCTTTCTGGGATCTCTTTACCAGTTTGCAGACATAGCTGTACATTAGAATAATCCTTTCCTAGGCACAGAATTCTCCGGCTTGGCAGCATCTCATCCCACTCTTTCCCAAGCCTGTTTGTCTTTTGTCAGCTTCATCCTGGTCTGGAGCCACTTCTCCGCCGTGGGCACTTTATCTCTCCGCGAGTGTGGTTCCCCTTCCGGACCTGCCTGTCTCCCGTCCCCTCTTCAGCCACCAGAGCACTGTGCATTACACTGTCCAGGCCAGATGATGCAGACTGTTCTATTGCTAAGGCACACAGCATTGTAGTGAGGGTAAAGGCTCTGGGTTTGCCTCTCAGCTTACCTGCATACTAGCCTGGACAAATACGTCGTGCCTCAGTTTTCTCATCTATAAGGTGGGAATATTGATGGTACTACCTTTTAGGGTGGTAGCAACTAGCCAGCTCTGCCACCCCTGTGATCTCTAAACAGTTTTGATCATGCACCCATCAGTAAAAATTAAGCATGTCCCCAACCCCAATATCTATAAGCTTACGTGTTACATTAATTTACTTGAGTACCAACATATAGTGTGTATTTTTGTTATTGTTGAGATGGGTTCTCACTACAAAACTAGAAAGGAATAAAAGGAATAGAGCCACTGGGCCCAGCCTATTGCATATTTCATAAAACAGAAAATGAAGATTTTTAAAGTATGAGGACAAGGCTGGGTGCGGTGGCTCACGCCTGTAATCCTAGCACTCTGGGAGGCTGAGGCAGGAGGATGGCTTGAGGCCAGGACTTCAGGGCTGCAGTGAGTTATGATGGCACCACTGCACCCCAGCCTGGGCAACACAGGGAGACCTTGTCTCAAAAAATAATAAAGATAAGTATGAGGGCAAACAAAATTAGCACTTCTGATATTTTCTTCTTATCCCTAATGGATGAGTTTCTGTGCCCCACTTTGAAGACAACTGCTCTAGCTCAGATCCTACCAGTAGTGGCAAATGTGGCCCAAGGACCAAAGGGTCACTACACTGAATAGAGGCAGTGTTTTGGGAGGGATGGTGTTTGCCAGGGGCGACCACAGCAAACAGAACAGACTGGATGTTCTAACAGAGCAAAGAGTTGGTGGGAGTGTAGCCCTCGTGTGTGAGCATGAACTGGTCCCTACCCCAGGGGCCAGGCACGGTGCTCTGTGCTTCCCATGCCCTTCTTTGACCCCGTTCTACAAAGCCAGTGGAACTGAGGCTGAGAGGCAGAGCCAGGAATCGAAACTCAGGCCAGTCTCACTTTCTCAACCCCAGTGCTGAGAAATGAAACTGAAACTAGCCAGCAGCTTCTGTTTACTCCTGGGTGGAAGAGAGAGTTTCTGACACTACCCCACCCAGTGAGGACTTCCTGCAAAATCAACTCCTTCTAGGGCCACGGCACAGAAGAGGCCACACAGAGAGATGGTTCCTTGTTTTCAAGGTATGATGAAGAGTGTTTTAAAGGACAGCAAACCAGGATAGCTCAGCCTACAGAGCATGAGACTCAATCAATTAATTTTTTAAAAAAAGAGAACCTTATTTTCCAGTATTTGTACATTATGCCCACTTGCAAATTAGGACTAGAAACAGCTAGAATCATGGAAATAGCTGATGAAGATTGTCCTTAAATGTTTTGAACAACTACCAGCGAGACCAGACAGAATTCTGTGCCGTTGGTTTTAAATGCTCTGATGTAACAGAATGCCTTCCACCAAGAAGTATTTGCAATTCAGTGGGACACACAAGACCAATGAACGTGCAGAACCAACACCATCATGGAAGAGGATAGGATTAGGACCAGGACGTGGGCCGGCCAAGGAGACCATCCATTCTTCACTAAGGTGAAACCGAACCTTATTAGAATCACTGTAAGATATTAGTATCACGTGAATGAACGATCATGCCTAAATATCTGGTAAATTGTCTAATACTCATCCCATACCATGAGTTCAGTCACCTTTAATCAGACATTGTGCTGACTGAAAGTTGAGTGAAGATAACTCCTTCAAGCGTTTTTCAGAATGGTTATGAGCATCCACTGGCTCCAAATCTGATGAGTGCAGTTATAGTCCAGCAAAGAAGCTTTGCTTAGCAGTGACTTTTGCACCGTGTGCATAAGAATCACCTGGGGAACTTGTGAAAGCGTAGAATGTCCAGCCTCCTCTCCAGCGAGTCTGAATCGGTGGACGGGGTGATGTTCACAAATATGCATGTGTAACAAGTTACTCCTGATGCTGGTGCTTCCTGGACCACTCTTGGAGAAACACTAGACACAGGGTCTAACACAGGTGATGGCTCTCAGGGAAACAAGGAGGGAGGATGCCAGCCAGGCTAAAGCTGGCTTGGCTGCTAATCCTATACAAGTAGTTCTTCCCAGGTGTTCATTGTCCAAAATGACTAAGCCCGTCTTTGAACCAAGGGGGAAAGAAAATAGACTTTAAAATACAGTATGGCAGTTCCAGGCCTGGCGCAGTGGCTCTTGGCTGTAATCTTAGCACTTTAGGAGGCCGAGGCAGAAGGATTGCTTGAGACCAGGAGTTCTAGACCAGCCTGAGCAAGAGTGAGACCCTGTGTCTACCAAAAATAGAAAAATTACCTGGGCGTTGTGGCACACAGCTGCAGTCCCAGCTACTCAGGAGGCTGAGGCAGGAGGATCACTCAAGCCCAGGAGTTTGAGGTTGCAGTGAGCTATGATGACACTACTGCATTCTAACCTAGGCAACAGAGCAAGACCCTGTCTCAGAAAAACACACAACAACAAAAACAAATACAGTATGGTAGTTCCTAAAAAAATTAAGCATAGAATTACCATATGATTCAACAATCCCACTTCTGGGTGTATATACACTCAAAAGAATTGAAAGTAGGGTCTTGAAGATGTATTTGTACACTGACATTCACAGCATTATTCACAATAGCCAAAAGGTGGAAATAACTCAAATTTCCATTGATGGATATTACAGATACACAAAATGTGATCTATCCGTACAATGGAATATTATTCAGCCTTAAAAGAAGGAAATTCTGACACGTGCTACGATGTGGATGAACCTTAAAGACGTTATGCTAAGTGAAATAAACCAGCCACTGAAGGACAAGTACTGTATGATCCATTTAAATGAACTCCCTGGACTAGGCAAATTCGTAGGCAGAAAGCAGCCCGGCGGTTGGCAGAGGCTGAGGGAGGGGAATAGGGAGTTCTTGTTTAATGGGTACAAAGTTTCAGTTTGGGAAGATGAAAGAGTTCTGGAGATGGATAGTAGGGATGGTTGCACAACCATGTGACTGTAGTGTCACTGAAGTGTACGCTTAAAAATGCGTAAAATGGTAAATTTTTTTGGATATTTTACCACAGTGGAAAAAGTTAAAAACGAAAGGAAATACTGCAGACCTAAAGCAAGGGCAGGGGAGACGAGCGTGATTGTTCTCCGTCTGGAGACAGCTGGGCTCCCCCTTCCCTGATGCACAAGCATCTGTCCTGTTCTCACGGGGCTTTTTCCCCAAAGTCAGCGAGAAGCAGATGAGAGGTGGAAAATTAAGAACAAAGTTGCCCTTCGATGTTTTGTCTATAGAAGTGGAAGTCACTGAACATTTCCCGAGTTGACATTGTGATGATGACTTTTGGGGGCTGGTGGCCCCTTTCTGTCTCCTTTCTGGCAACCTCTTCTCCATCTCTTCTGCCTCCTCCAACCACTCAGCGTGTATCACCTTTTATGTTTCATACATGTGTCATTCCATCTGCTTGGTACTATTTTATCCTCCTCCTCCACCTGGCACCGTCCTACTTAAGTCATGTGTTGACTTCTTTAACAAATAAATGGGGGCCAGTCTCTGAGATCCGGTCGCTTCTTTCTACACTTCCTCAGGCACAGCGAGGGACTCTGTCACAAGAGTGGCTTTATTAATATTAAAGCACCCAATAACGTAGTTGCCCATCGCTGGCCATGAGGCAGGAGCCCTTCTACGGAACAGAGTGTCTGTACCTTTAGTTCCTAACAGTGTCTGGCATTATATAGGCACCCGGTACAGAACTAAATGAAGAATGTGCAGGTTGATTTATCTGCCCGAGGTGGTGCAGGAAGGAAGAAGGAAAGGTGGTAAACCAAATTTTGAATGAATTAATTTGTAGGATTAGACAGACGGGGGCTCAGAGAACAGTGAATTCTCTGCCCCAAACTTGGACCTTCCGTCACCCTCATCATCTCCCTGAGGCTCATGCTATTTCACTGATCACCCACCGTTTGCTCACAGGGATGCTCTTCCTGGCATGCCTTTCCCCTCTTCCCTGTTGGTCACAAGACTGCCCAATTACACAGCCTGTCCAACTCACCTGAAGTGTTGCTGTGAAGACCACCCAACCTGTCTTCACTGAGTTCATCCTTAATTCTTACTGGACCCTCTGACAACCAAGCACTGGGCTCAGTGCACAGCCGCACAGCTTAGCTTTTTGTTGTATATCATAGAGAGTGTGTTAACTAAGAAGCACTTAGTGGAATATGGTTCCACATGTTTCCTCCAATTAGTGTCTCTGTGTTTCCAAGTCTTATCCAGGCTAA